GGACGTGTGAGGTGGAGGGACCCACCCCACTTGCGACGAGAAGCAGTCGTGGCGATCGAGTAGGATAAGAAAGCAAACCACGTGTACTATCAGATTCGGAGTTCCGGCTACCGTGGCGAGCAAAGATTGGCTGATGGACTAGGATCTGCTGACTCAGCCGATCTAAACCACCAGTTTCTTTCTTACCTTTCAGCCGGTCTAATTGACTGGTTTATTGCATGATGTGCTGAATACCCTTCTGACGTGTCCGCCGACGCAGTTACTACGTCAACCAGCAAAAGGCGTAACAGTAACACTAGATGCTCAAATCGAATCGAACCAAATGACTTAAATCATTAAACTGGTCCGAACGAATTTATCTAAATGAATTGGTTCAAAAATCAATTACTCTAATTTGATTACGATTTATAAATTAATTATATTTTAAAATAAATTAATGTGATTTAATCGAATCGAATCAAAATCTTAATCCAATTGGATGGACACAAATTAGATTTATGAAATTGAACTCATGTTATTTATAAAATTATAGTATTTAGATTAGACAAACATAGTTAGGTTAATTTAGCTTTTCAATTGGTATAACACCGATGTGTTTGATGGTGGGACCCATCCGACTTTGCGACGAGAAGCAGTGGAGATCGAGCAGGGTGGGAAAGGAAACATGTAGTATCAAACTCGTGTAATACTCGATTCGGAGTTCCAGCTAACATGTCGATCAAAGATTGGTTAACTCAGTGGGGCCTGTTGACACAGCCGGTTTCAGCCACTGAAAGATTCTCTCTCTCTCTCTCTCTCTCTCTCTCTCTCTCTCTCTCTCTCTCTCTACTTTATCACACTAAAGACCTATATCCAGCCAACTTAAAATGAGGTCAAAATGTATTTATGGTGGAAGGCTTTCTTTGTTAGGACGAAAATCAAAGAAGAAATTTAGAGATTAAAAATGAAAGAATATATCTGAAGATCGATAAAGATTTATGTGGTTCAATATTCTTTATTCATGTGGTTTTTTAAGAGATAAGTAAGGAATGTGAGGTTTGAGCCTAAGATTGTATGATAAACTAACACCTTCTTTTTTATTTATGTTCACCAAGAAAACTAAACTCTTCACTGCTTGACAAATACCAAAATAAGAAATGTCTCTCTTGAGCTAATCGAAATTTTAGCCATCCTCTCACACAAAATTTGGAAGAAATTTTCTCTAAAATCTCTTCATATCTGCTAGAAAAAATCCCAAGAGCACCATAGTGTCCTTATCTATATCTACTTTAAACATTGCGATATATAATATATTTATGATGATAAATCCTAATTCTCTATAAACTATTCTTTTTTATTTGGATCTAAAATCCAAATATTAATCCTAATCCATGAGTTTGAAACTAATTAGGATTCCTCCAAATAGTTTGAATCTAATTAAGAATTTTAAATGCTTACTTACCATTACATTTCTTGAATAATTATTTTTTTAATATTTATAAATTGAATATAATAGTAAAAGATTTACAAAATGACAAATAATATTTAAGTACCACATCCTCTAGAGACAGAAACAATTATGCTCCTAAAATTGCCATCCAACTTTCTTGCCATTGAAGGAGCGGCATATATTTGCATGATTTGATAGCTAATAAAAGGATCAACCAAAAAAAAAAAGAACCGTCAAAGCTGTTCGTCTTCTCCAATATAAGGATTATTTAAGATGGGATGCACAAATATTAGACTAGTAGTCCAACACAGCGCATCATAATTCTCAGTGTTCAGGATGTGATTGTTGCAGCTTCCCCATCTAGATAATTATGTAATGATGGTTACATAATGGAAATATCAGCATCATTACTCATAGATAATCCACGTATGTGTTGTTCTTTCTTCTCCAAATGACATTAGTTGTTCATTAGATAATTGTAATCTATTGAGACAATCCCATCAGCGCTCAGAATAGTTTTTGTTTGTTAATCTATTCAGAATAGTTTCACTCATCATTCTTTTCTATTTTATAAGCATGTTGATGAGATCAGATTTTGATCGTTTTGTGCTCAAGTTATGAAAGAATATTGAGATTTCTTTAAGAGGAAAAGAAAAGAAAGAAAGATTCGTGAGAATTCAAGTCGATTTATTATTTCTAAGGTGAAGAAGATATTTTTTATAATATCAACAAAATAACATAGTGCTATTGTAGAAGATCATTCGAATCTATATGACTATAGAAAATATTCTCATAGCGTTTTTAATTAGGGTGACATGACATCAAAGTTGTTTTATAGCCAAAAAAAGAGAGGATGTTATCATCTTATGATAATATATCACATGTCGGTCATCCGCTATAGTTCAGTGGCTTTGCGCCATAGTGCTACTCAACCTACCTTAGTCCAAGTCAAGATAGATGCTTTTGACCTATTAGGACATCAACATGGATTGTATCGTTGAACTCGGTAAACGTAAGTTGGATGACACAGGATAGGATAGGATGAAGTTTGTCATGTACTAGTGTTTCATTGGTGAGTTGATGCATGCAAATGAGACTATCATAAAAATAGTTCTAAAAATATATAATTATGTTTGCAAAGTTTTAAATTTAGGTTTCTTTAGGCCACATCTATATCATCTAATCAATAATTTGAGTTTGGCTTATGATGAGATAAAATTTTGATCATCCATATAAAAGCTCAAATTATGCTTTTGTTATTGAGAAAAATTTTAATGTGACAATCAAAATCAAAATTATATATCTTTTAATATTATTTAGAATATTTTTATCTGATCCGAACCGTCCTTTGATCCAAAAGATACAATAATACCGATCTAGGAGAATTAAACTCGTTTTCTCGAGTCCCTCTTATTAAGATATCTATTAAAGAATCCAACTATAATTGAATTTCATTTATATTGACTAATAACCATAATCGAAATCAAATCAGGTATATAATATATATTACTCAATTAAACATGAACACATAATCTAATATTCTCTAACGTAGCCCACTAATTAATAAGAAATAAAAAATAAAAATAAAAATAAAAATAAATAAGATATAATTTTATTCAAAAATAATTTTATTAAATTAGATTATAAAATTTTTGAAAAGCATTTTACATGTGTACATGAGTTTTATAAAAATTCTAATAAGTCTAATAAATATATTAATTAAGTTTGATTAATTATATTTCATAAATCCCTCTTATGTACCATAATATTATTAATCCTTCTTAATACAATTCATAATGGTCTGTATAATTTATTTTGTCAAGATAATCATGTTATCGCATTCAACTATAATATGTATATATATAAATATAAATAGAATAGTAAAAATAACTTACTTTAATTAAGTGAACAAGAAAAAATATTAATAAATAATATCCATTTAAATATGCTATCATCATATCTTATAAATTACTTACAAGTCTTATTTTAAAAATATATCCTTTAAACACTTTAGGTACTAAAATTTTAGTAAATCAATCATTATCTCAAACACTCCTATACCCTCGTATGTTTGACGATGATTTTCCATGACACTAATGAAAAGTTATAATAAAAACAGTTATTTCACTTGATATGAATTTAAGTTATCAAGATAGAAAGAAATTTCTTATATTTGGTATTTGTATTAGTTTTCTCGTATAATAGGCAAAGTGCATCAAACAATCTCGATCTTACATCACTTTCGAATATATTCTTTAATTATTAATCTTTAAATTTCTCTTTCGAAGTCTTCTCTCATTAATAAAAATTATCCAATAAGCATTAGTTTTATTAGATTTAAGGAAGAACCGTAACCAAAGCAACTAAAAATAATTAGATTTGTTTGTAAAAAAAGAGGGACGATATATTTTCAGCTAAATACCTTTGTACATGACAGAATATATGACATATTCCTCTATATCTCACGTGAACTCTCTAGGAAACAAATGGAACTACAACTTCTTGTGTTATATATATATATATATATATATATTGTCCTTCCGAACAGTTTCATGAAATCTTAATCCATAGGCTTCCGCCCTACATCCGAGATGTTCCCTTGTTAAATAGTTTACTACTTTATTACTCACACGAAAAATAATAATCAATAAAAGAGTTCATTAAACATAAAAAAAATATTCTTCTAATAATAATTAAAAATGAATCCGATATGTGTTCTTTAGTATCCGAATTGACTATTATGCATAGAATTCTTACTGTCAGTCTCACAAAAGAAGAGTTCCACGATAACAGAAGACCTTCGGAAGCCCGAAGGGAGGCTTACACACATGGAAGAAGATTTAGTCTTCCACATGCAAGGAGACCAAGTCTCAGAAGAAAGATGTAAACCCCGCAGCTGCAGTGAATGGTCATTTCATGATGAAGTGACAGATAAGTACACAAAAGCATAGCGACTGTACACACACAGAAAGACCCGATCACAAGAAAGAGCAGACGAAGAAGATTGATGATGATAACAAAACACAGCTTGTCGGAGATGACAAGTCCCCATGACCAGATCAAGAAGCTTTCTTGATGTCCTTTTGAATTCGAGCTGTTGGCCATACCTCACGCGATGGATTCAGAAAGGTGGTCTTACCCCCCCGAAAGCATCACCTGCAAACTGGTAGCTCCCTCCCAGGCTATAGAATGGCACGCCGACACTTCCGCCGCCTTCTTCGCCGCGGCTTCCGGTAACTTCGGATGACTGCGACACTGCATGTTGCTGCCCCCGCGCAGTCGCTGCTGCTGCTGCTTTCTCGTCGCCGACTTCCAGCGGCAGCCGCTCGTACTCCGCGTTAGCGAAGGACGCTGCCATCAGCACCACCGGCCCTGCGGCCACCAGCGGCCCCGTGACGGTGCCTCCCAGCACCTGCCCTTGGCCTCCGGCCAAGAACACAGTCAGGCCTCCTGCGCCAGGCGGGGCCGGCGGCGGAAGCACGGTCCCCGTGAGCGACAGGATCTCGAACCGCCCCCTCAGAGCCGCCACCGTTTCGCCGGAAAGCGACGAACCAGGCTGGCGGAGGGCGACGTACGAGACGGCGCCGCCTCCGCTCAGGATGCTCACCCCGCGGCCCCGCCGTAGTGCGTACTCCGTCACGCACTCCATCACATCGGCTCCTTGGGCGACCTCGATCACGTTGGCGCGGAGCGCGTTGGGGCTGTCGCTCGTCACGATGACAGGGGGCTTCGGCTTGTTCTTGGAGCCCGGGGGACGGCCTCGGGGGCGGCGCACGTGGCCTAAGACGCCCTGTTGGTTGCCGCCGCAGTTGTCAGGGCAAAGCTCGGGTTTCGTCTCCTGGGGCGCCTTCGATTCTTCCGGTTGCACGTGGGCGGAAGAAGGCGGTGGATAAAGGAGGTGGTGGAGGTATGGCGAAGACCCTCTCCCGCCGCCGCTTTCACTCCAGGTTTCGTTTCTGGCCATCGCCGAAACATCTACTCTTTCCCACCACCTGTTCGCCAGCTTTGGTTTCCCTTCTCACAGTCTTCTCCACTTCTCTAAAAGGTTCTCTTAGCTTTCAAGTTACCTCTCTCTCTCTCTCTCTCTCTCTCTCTCTCTCTCTCTATCTATCTCATCTGTGACTCTAATCAACTAACCAGTAAATCTTGCTTAAGACGTGAAATCTTCTTCTACCAACTATAGCTTACACAGTTCTACCACCATCTTCCACTTCGGAAGAATCCTTTCTCAGTAGAAGCATGCAGCTTTTCCAGTACACAACCACTGGAGCAGGAAAAGAAGAGAAGAAATCATAACTTGGGAGATGGTGGTGCTGATGCTATATTCATACCAGTAATATATATGAGGGAAACCTTAACAGCAGAGAATGACAGGAGTTTGGGTGTTCCCTGAGTTGAGTAGGAAAGAAGCTCTTCCACTGGGAAGTGTGCAGATGCATCGAGAGAGAGAGAGAGAGAGAGAGAGATAGAGAGAGAGATGCAAGCTTGGGCATATATTTCCTAGAGTTAATGGTACTCCTTGTTGGTCCTATTTATAGTATGCCAATGTTGGACACAATGGTGGTGTGTGATCATGCACTATAATATGTGGTGCTACATGAAATCCTTTGGTTATGGGTCTTTAAGTATGGGTTTAGGGTTTTGCAGGTACATGTAATCCCTCATCCTTGCCCTCTTTGAAGATGTTACATCATTGTAGCCTTGTGTTAATGATGTTACTTTGGCATCTTGGTGAATTCAAGTTCAGCAGGTGGGGCATAGTCAGTCAAAATCCTACAAAATAACCAACAAGGCTTCTTATATTAGCAACAAAATAAAAATATTTCTGAATCATTAAATACGGATCTCTACTTATACTGAAAAATTTATTTTACTCTTGGAATTTGATTGACCTTTTTTATTTTCTTCATGTATCTCTTAACTTAGTATTGAAGGAATCTAATCAAATATATTTTTGACTTAGGTTTTTCATAAGACATCAATGACTGGGTTGGGTGTCAAACCACTCATCATCTTCACTAGAGAAATTTCTTTTCAAGACTTTAGCACCTCATATCGGAAATATAAGTCGGATGTGTTTGAATCCATCATAAGAACTAAGATCTCAGTTCAAGTTCCAAATTTAGATCTTAAATATGATAAAATTCAAAAATATAAGTCAAATCAGATCAACTTGTTGTCTTTCCCTTAGATTCGACGTATATAACATGTACAGTTGATTTCCAATGGATGCAAACCGTCCAGAAGAAGAGATGATGATGATGATGTGCTCAGAGATGCCTAATTTGACTCAAGCAATAGAAACCATATATTATAATGAGATACTTGTATGAAAAACACTAGTCTTTGCAGCACAACTTTACCAACTAAACCACTTACAAGCCATACAAAAGTGTCTTCTATTATAATGCTTTGTGTATATAAATGAATATTTAAGTGTACTAAATCCATGCAAATTAAGAATCTTCGAAGAGGAGGAGAGGATTGAATGTGATTTCTATTTGGAAATGGCCATCTTTCGAAATTGGTAGAGCAAATCGAATGTTGCCAATTTAATTTTACTAACCATCCATGGGCAAAAGAAATAGACCGACAATTTATATTATATTTATATTTATATTTATATTTATATTTATATTTATATTATATTATATTATATTATATTATATTATATTATATATGTCAAGTAGGTAGGCTTTGACCTCATTAAGTGGAATTCATCCTAATGAAATGGAATGATGACCACTAATGGTGTCTAATCTCATGTATATTATTTATGATATTTTTGAGAATAAATCATGAGCACAAATGGATCCTCGAATCTTAGGATAAACTGTTAAGATCTTTACTGACTAAATTAGTTGATACATTCTAAATAAATTAGTTGAGGTTTCAAATCCTCAACTCTTGGTAGGAGAGTATGGTGAATCGTCACTATAGTAATGTTTTAGGTGTGAAAATATATCGAATAAAATTTTAAATTATTTATAATCAATTTTATGTGGGATTATAATTTGGTGTAAGAATAAAGATACACAAAAAAAATAAAAAAACTGAAGACATAATAAGTCAAACTATAATTTGACTTACCCTTACTAATAATAAAATATTTGTGTAAGATAAATATCAAAGAAATGACTAAAGAATAGTTTCGTTACTAAGTAGTCATTAAATGAGTTGAATGGCATATAAATTAAAACATTTATTAATTGGGATTACAATAAATAAGAGTATAGAAATAAGCATCCAAGTTAATGCATTAGGAATAAAATGAAATAGGATTAAAATGAAACCGTGGCTAATCATCACCTAGTAAAAGTAATAGAGTGAAGGAGGACTACAGCTCGGTATCAGCTAAGGTTTCTGGTCTCCTTAAGTTGATGGCAGCCTTCAAAGGGCAGCATGTGGTTACTTAATCGTTGTCTCCTTCAGAAACGATAAGTGATGACTTTGATCTATGACACTGATCTTATTTGTTGTGAAGCTAATCGAGGAAAGGAAATGAAGATTGATCTAGTTATGGTATGTTAAACCTATTTACCAATAATTACTAAGATTTTTGGACCAAATATTTGCCACTTATCTTTTTGTGAAAATAAAAAAAAATACATTAGGCACTATTTAGTGTTTTCTTTTCTATAAATTTTTTAGAAGGTAATTTTTTTTTTTCACAAAGCTCTACCAGCTGAATAAAACGAATCGATAAAATATATTGAATGAGATTAATACTTTAATAGTCACTAAATAATGTCCACTAATTGCATATAAGTCGTAAGTGATAATAACATGACGGTGGAGGAGTCTCATCACGTATTGTATGTAGGTTCCTCACGGGAAGCTGCATGAGGTTTTTGTCTTTAAAGATAGAGCTTCCATGGAACCCATGAATCGACTGTGGAAGATACATGGAGCCCATGCATGGAGATACGGAAACGAGTACGTGCATTAAATAGAAGCCTTGTTTATTATTACCTCTCCATTATTCCATTGACCAAGAATGGAATGCATATATATAAGTTGTGGGTCATAATCTGCGTACACTCCCAACCATGAGCTTATGCATATAATTTCATTCGTAGGAAAAGACAAATTCAACGATGAGTCAGATTTTGATCGTCCGTTCGAACGAAAGAGGATTGGAGTTGACCAAATCTTTTCACCCAAACATCAAAGTCGTAGGTTAAATCGTCGGACATCTCCTTCCTCAATCATGCCAGCTTAAATGATGTCAGATCGTTTAGTCCTCACAAATCATTCTCCCATATACTAAATATCACGAGGTGAAAAAAATTTTCCAATAAGTTTTCTTTTTGTTTGATAAAAAGATCATAAATCATCAGATGCTATTCGTGTGGTTGCTCCGACACCACCATCTTAATTTGTCATGGGTTCTTTAAAAAATAATAATAAATAATAATAAGAAAAATTGTTCTATGGGTTGTGAAGGAGCACAATAGGATTATGTTTGCAAGCATCCATATCACCAACGTCATCAACTCGAAGCATCTCGACATAACGAGGCAAAGTGAACGGAGCGGCGCCGCTGCCGCTTCGTCGGCGGTGACCAGACCACGTGCAGCGTTCCCCACCGCCCGCGCCGCACGGGTCTCCTCCTCTCGACCTCATCCACTGCATGCAGAGCGGAGACTATACTTGTGGGGTCAGAGACGACTGCACTCTGGCCCACTTCAGCTGCCACTTAAATTGCTCTATTTGTTCCCATGGACATCATACGTAATCTAGCTTGCGGTTCACTTGTACAACACCTACTATTAACATAATATTCACGTGTGAAGACTTTAAAAAATCTAAAAAATATTTTTTATATTTTTATTAAGAATTGAAGGAATGGAATGAGATACATTGAGTCTCACGAAAACTACCTAATTTTTTTTTATAAAAAAATATAACATAGTAAATAAGCTAAACTTTTAATCTATTCTTATGATTTCTTTTAGTTACTAATTTATGGACCGAATTTTATCCGGTTCATGAAGGGGAATTAATGATTGGTTGGATCTATAATAATTTTTGAATTGAATCGATCAAACTATATCTTATGTGGTTTTTACCTTTCTATTTATTCTAGATAAAATAATGAAGTATTGGATCTGTTATTTTTTAAAATCGTATATCTCCTTCCCTTTCCCTTGTGATAATTTATAACTCATTTGAATTTATTATATAAATTAAATAATCATTTTCCTTTATTTATAAAGAAAGTATTCAAATTTGACTTAACAAGAGGGATATTGATTGAAAGTGAATTAGGGAATAGTCTTACATTTCTAAAAATTGATCAAATCAGATAATATATATATTGAGTTTGTTCCATAACTTATATATATATATATATATATATATATATATATATTATT